GCTTGTTTTTTAGAATTTGAGTTATAATGTCTAGTCATTCGTCGTATTTATTATTATTTTATTTTTTATTTTGGTTATGCGAAAGAAAATTTTTTTTTTGAAGAAATTTATTTTATTTTAAATTCTCATTCATTACTATTAGATATTATATCAAATATTATTTTTTATATTTTTGCTAATAGCTTGAGATGATTTCTTTGTTTTTAATCCATTTTCTCTTTCTTTTTTGTATTTTTTTTCATTCATCTTCAAAATAAATTCAAGTCATGATGACAATGATTCTGTGTATATTCTTATTAGTCCTTCCTTATTAAGAATAGTGATGTTAGCTGGCTAATGATCTGCATAAGTAATTTCTAAATTTGGTAATAGATTTCCGAGTTACTTTCTTGTTATAGAAATAAAATTACCACTTTAGGTGGTAAATGGGCTTAGCCTGCTAAGGATTTTTAAACGGCTAACATCACTAATTAAGATTTGTTAGATTTGTTGAATCCATATTTTCAACATTTTTATGAAGGTCTCTCCATGAGACATAAACAAGAATGACCATCATCTTCTGTCATATTAAGCTGTGCTCTATTGCTTGTATTAAAGTGTGGACAATTCAATTGTGAAGAATTACAGGTTCTTTTGGTCCAGAGATAAGGAAGATATTTATTATGAGTTTTGGAGTCCTTATTTTCTACATGACTTTTGGATTCTTTTGTTATGCTCTGCGGGTATGAAAACTTGCATTCTATATTAATTGCATATAAGATATTGTTGATGCATTTCCTTTAGATTCATTTCCCTTCAATACATGCATAAATTCAGAACATAATGCTTTACCTTCAGCATCAACTAATTCATTATTACTATTTTCATTAAAAGTTTTATTTATAAAGGGTGAATTTTGATATTAATTCATTCAAAGCTAAATAATAAGCGTACAATAATCACTTCCAATACTTACTGGTTAATTTCTTGGAATGGAGTACAGGTTTTTTTCTTGTTTTAATGATATGTTTTTTTAAAAAAAAATGAGTAATGATCTTTCTTTTTTTTTTTTAATTAGATTTTTCTTTCTTTACACATATTAGATAGACAGAAGATAAATATTTTTAAATACTAACTAGAGTGATGACGAGTGGTGACAATCACCATCACCATTCTTTTAATAAACATTTATTTTGTTTATTTTTTCTTGATTTTGTTTTCTTTTTTTCTTTTTAAAAAAAAAATAATTACCGTGTTCTCTTGAATACAAGCACCACTTAAATATAAGCACAGTATGAATTTGCAATGGAAAGAACTTTATTTGATTTTATTTTTATATAATAAAAAATAAAAAATAAAGATTTTTTTATTTTGAGTATTCATTTCCAGAATCACCAGACTCCTCCTTTTCTGATTCATCTAATTCATCAGCTGAATCATCATTTCTATTTATCTAATTCAAGTTCTTCCTTTTGTTTTTGCCAATGAGAGATCATTGAATGATTGATAGTAAAATGATGCTCAGCTGGTCTTAAACCGTATTATTTTGCATATTGCAAAACTTGGAGTTTTTCAGCAGCAGAATATTCAACCTTTGGCATTGCTGTGGGAAAAAAAATGAATTAGAACTTAACAGGACCCCGGAAACTACATAGATAGGTTACCCTAAAATTTTCAAAATTTACTAATGAGTTTACCCAATATTTTTTATATTAGATTTACCCAAGTTGGTAATAACTCTCTAATCTTTAATAATAAATTTACCCAAAAATATCTATGACAAATAATTTTTTTATTTAAAAAATTTGACTAAAAATAGTGTAAGCAAAATCATGATATTAAAATAAATGAACATAATAAGTTAAATAATTAAAAAGTTAATTAAATCAGTTAGATTAATGTTCACCTTCTTGATTGCTTTATTTAAAGTGTTACATCTACATAAAACCTCACAATTATTACAAGTTTGATTTATTCATTGTAAAGTTTTGACAATTCAAACTCCTAACACATAAAGAAATTTTATCTCAGTTGAAAAAGTAGCCGAACGAATTAATTTAACTAACTCTGAAACTAAGGACATTTTATACTATCACATTGATTATTTTACTTTGGATAGACTAATGACTTATGCGGAAAAATTGCTCTCTCCTTTGGAGATAAAAGTAAAAGTAGAAACTAAGAAAGAAAATTCAAATGTCCAATATCCATTTAGCATGACATCTCAAATTATCAATTAATTTATCATGTTCTTTAGATAATCTTTTCCAAGAGAATTTTCTTTAAATTTTTCATTAAATAATTTCTTTTTTTAATCACATAAACCACAACAAGCAACTCTAGTGGAATCAACATCATCAAAAATAGTGCTTTGATTAAAAAAAGATTTTGTACTTAATTGTTTGTCAGAAACAATGCCACGTTTACCACATTGATTATGACTTATTAAATTCCTTTCTCTATATTCTCTATTTAATTTAACTGATTTGCCACAAATACATTGAACTAATTTAGAATTAATTTCCTCAAGGAAATATTTATTTCTATACAATTTTCTTAATTCGTGCTCCGTGAGACAACTGCAAAATTTTGCCGATCGTTAGTATAATTTTGTGGCGATAATAAACAATATAATTTTTAGAATTTTTGGAATATGACCGTCCCTCACGTGATTAAGCATGATTACGCGCGACATAAAAATTTAAAATTTAAACTTTTCAAAGTAACCAAACATCTATTTATATTTCTTTTTTTTTTGAATAAAACTAATTACAAACGCTTATTTATATTTTTTTTCTTGAATAAATAATTAAATATTATACTTGAATCTTAAGTTTTATATAGCAATTTTAGGCAAGAATCCAGCGGTCCCTCCATATAAAGATAAAATATTTTATAAGAAAGTCCATTTGAAAATTTGTATATTAAAACTTTGGGTTTCTTACTATTTATTACATTTGCAAATACAATTTATAAATTCGTATAAATAGTAGTTTTTTAGGAATGAAGTATGGGTTCCGGAAAATTTCAATTAGTGATCTGCGAAAATTTGCGCCAAATTCTATTATGAAATTATTGCAGTTGTTTCACATATCACGAATTAACTTTTTTAATTATTCTAAGTTTCATCATTTGTTTCAGCTACAATATTTAATTGGGAATTAACATTAACCTTGATTTATTACTGTCTCTACAATTCATTCTCATTTTCATTTTCATCCTTGTCCTCATCTTCATTCTCACTTTCATCTTTGCTTTCATCTTCAAACAATAATATAGTACAGTTTTCATTCTCAGGAATTTCAATTAATTCACTAACATTTTCTGAATTACACGAAATATTTTTAGGATCTTGATTTACAAAAAAATTATTTAAGTTTAATATACACATATATTAATATTAATTTTTTTTTTTTTAAAAATTTGTGAAATTTTAAAATTTATCCCCTAAATAATTTACCCAAAATGGAACCGACATAAAAATATTCAAAGTATTTATATTTAATTTTACCCATTTTCTAGCATAACTATTTTTTTCTTTACCCTATGAAACTCATGACCTTTTAAACCATATATATTAATTTACCCAAAATTTTCTCTGACCTTTCGATTTTTTTACATATTGATTTACCCAAAAATAATGTAACCTATCTATGTAGTTTCCGGGGTCCTCATTCTACACTAAGGATACTGGCTGCAACTTTTGATGATGGTTGCTACCATCTTTGCGTCATATAAAAACGATTGCAACCACTGGTTGCAACCACCTTTACAACCATTTTGGTTCCTTTTTTGGATTGCGACATGGAACACTATTCTACACTGATGAATCTTTATCAAAATTTGGTCAACAAGATATTAAATTATCTTGTGCCTGGATTCAATTAAAAGATGAAAATGTCAAACACACTTTTTCTTGTTCATTGACATCCTTTCCCTCTTCAACAAGAGCAGAATTAATGGCAATTATGACTGCTCTTATAACTTGTCCACAATACTTTTTGGTGTCAATTTATACAGACAGTCAATCATCTATCCAACTATTTGACAATAACATCACACCTAACACTACTTGCAATAAGTTTAAAATCAAAAATTACTCTATAATATCCTCTATCCATCACATAAAAAAATCATTATCATTAAAAATATTTTTTCATAAAATTAAATCACATTCAGGCCAACAATATATTGATTATCCTTACATTCTTTCATAAAATTAAATTCAAACTCACAAGCAATAATTAAATGGCAAACACAACCTGCCTTGGTAAAGCAAACTCCATCAAACACACCTATCAATTGGTCATATACAGAATTTTGTCTAAAATCTCCCATTACTCAATGTTCACTGAAAATAATTCACACTTTTACCATGGCTCATTATACTCATTCAAGCTTGAAATTCTCCATAACACATTACCTACAATAAAAAACTTAATACGCAACTATCCAATGCTACTCCCACCAGCCGTTTTGAGTTTATATAAACTCAAAACGGCTTGGATTAGACTATAATGGACTCAGGTGTGATGTGTGTTTTGCGTTTGCCTCGTCATTCGAGTGACGTACGTTTTGCATTTGCCTCGTCAAAGATGAGACGTTTATAGTCTGCTTATCGGATGACGTACGTTTTGCATTTGCCTCATCAGAGATGAGACGTTTATAGTCTGCTCATCAGGTGACGTACGTTTTGCATTTGCCTCGTCATTCGAGTGACGTGCGTTTTGCATTTGCCTCGTCATTCGAGACTGTGGTTAATTTTCGTATATCAAATTGGTGATCATAACCAATTTCCGTTGCAATAAAATAACTGAGGTAGGTTATGCTACCGGGTAAGCCTCATCGCGAGTTTGATGGGTCAAATACATTTTATGCGTCATTTGATATCACATGCTGGCTTATCGTTCCCAACCGATTTCCGCATTTTCAGTCTCCGCCATGTAGCATTTGTGTCCATCGTCTACACGTGTGGACGGTCATCTATAAGTAGCACTCTAGGAAAATGCTTAATCTGAAGTTACCTACCCGAAAGCATACCCGAAAACATATCATGAAAACGGGTAGGTTTCTGCCATAATTCTTATAATATATTTCCGCACTTACCTACCCCAAAAACATATCGTCAAATGGGTAGCCATCTTCCATAATTATATATAATATTTCTGAAGTTAGCTACCCCGACCACATATATCCGAATACGTATCATCAAACAGTGAAGCCTTCTGCCATTTTTCTTATATATATTACGCAGTTAGCTTCACCTCACCATATACCTAAAGCATACCCAAAAACATATCGTCAGATGCGGTATATAACTTCATTTTTTCTTATGTGTCAAAGACACTAGCTCCGCTATATATTATTACCGCACTTACCTACCATGCTAAAGTGGTGTATTCTTCCATATATTATATATAATATTACTGAAGATTACACCACTCGATCACATACCCGAAATATATATGCTAAGGTGGTGTGTTCTTCCATTTTATATATAATATATTTCTGAAGATTACACCACAAAGTTTTCTTTATCTCTATCACATTCATTTACATTCTCGCTAAAATATTTGATACATATTTTTTACTATCACTTACCACCAACTGAAAAAATTAATTTAAACTTTTCCAAACTATATTGTAATAATATAATCGAACAAAGATTGATACATACCAATAAAAAAAAACCAAATACCAAAAATGAGCAAACAAAACGCACAAGTGATCGGGTACGGGGGCGGGGAAACTTTAGCCGGGATTCCAACTCGCAATGATATTATTTCGGAATGCGATAATGGGTTAACAGCTATACTCCAACAAAATTTATCCGATAAACAACCTATACACTTCATGCCCAATGATGTAAGTGATGCCACTGAATATATAAATGGGGTATCTACATATATTCTACGTATTTACGGCACTTTGATTAATGGGCAAAAGGCTAGAGTAGACATTACAGGGATCAAACCCTTCTTCGATGTCACCATGCCTGATAACGAACCTTTATCTATATTCAAACCAAGATTAGTAAAAATTATATTGGGATCGGAAAGGATTGATAAATCGAAGTTTGGGATAAAAGTTATCCATGCGTATCCAATTCGTGGTTACCATACCGAGAAAAAGATGTATATTCGTATCATTACATGGAATCATTATGATAGGACACGAATTTTGAAAGAGGTTCGTAAACACAATATTGAAACGGCATCAGATGATATCACTAATGTTTATTATTATCGAAAAATAGCCCGTGAAGAAAAACTACCTCTTTCTGAGTGGGCTATATTAAGCAATTATAGCCACGAAGTGACTGCTTTTAGCAATTACATATCAAATACAAATTCGTCATATTATTATTTCCGCGTATCTGTAAATAATTTTCAGCCTTTAGGGAATAATAGGCCGGATGATCAAACAGTATCTTCAGCTCTCATGCACGATCGAACTCTTGTGCTTACTTGGGATATAGAAACATATAGTAGTCGTAAGATGGGAGATTTACCTAATGCAAAAAATGACGAGGATCAAGTTTTTATGATTTGCATGACCATACATTGGAAGGATGATCCAGTGCCATTAAAGCAGATCTGTCTTGTTGATGTTGAAATAACACCAGATCCACGCTGGATTATAGTTGTTTGTGGAACTCAAGAAAACTTATTAAAAGCTTTCGCCCTTTGTTGGAGAGCAATCATGCCAGATATACAAATCGGGTTTAGTGATTCACAATACGACTGGCCTTTTATTATAGAAAAAGCCAAAAGTTTAGGCATTCTTGAATGGATGTATAATCATATGTCACCTGAATCATCAAACATTGAAAAAATTCTAAAATGGAACTATCGAAAAAGCGAGATAAAGATAGATGATGAAAAATTTTATTTGAAATATCTCAAAATCCCAGGGTGTATACCTATTGATGTTCATGCTTGTTTTAAAAAGTTATACCAAAAATCAGAAGCAAGTTCACTGAGATATTATTTGGGAGAATGTGGATTGGGTAGCAAGGTAGATATGCCAATAACTACTATGAACAGAATATATGAAGATGCAATACTTCACCCCTCTGATATATCAGCTAAAAATATGTGTGAAGTTGCAAATTATTGTGTTATAGATGCATTACGATGCCAAGAGCTTATGGTTAAACATAATGTAATCAATGACTATAGGGAAGTATCATCTATTGCATATGTTTCTCTTTCTGATTCTCATTATTTTGCGGGGGGTATGAAAGTATGTAATCTTTTGGGAGCTGAAGCTTGGAGTAGTAATATGTTGTGTAGTATGATTGCTTCAGAAAATACAGAATCTGGTAAATATCCAGGAGCTTATGTTATTACACCGATAAAAGGTCTGGAAAACAAACGTCCAGTAACAGGTTTAGATTTTGCCTCCCTATACCCAAGTCTTATAATGACATACAACCTTTCACCAGATAAAATCATACTATCCCATGAAGAAGCGATAAATGTAATCCGTAGTGGAAAAAAAACCCACATGATTAAGTTTCTATTCAATGGTCGAACTATAGAAGCTTGGTCTATTCGCCATAATAATATATCTGAAGAAAAGGGATTATATGCTAGAGTGTTGGAAAATCTATTTAATAAACGAAAGAAGATGAAAGAAACCCTTAATGAATTGGATGATAAAAGTTTCGAATATAGTTGCTTAGACTCAAAACAAAAGGCGGTAAAATTATATATGAATACATTTTATGGTGAGGCAGGTAACAATCTCTCTCCATTCTATCAACTTCAGTTAGCAGGTGGAGTTACTTCTGCTGGGCAACGTAATATTAAATTTGTTAGAAATTTTGTTGAAGATAAAGGGTTCGGTGTTAAATATGGAGACACCGATTCTTTATATCTCACATGTCCAGAAGAGTGTTTCCGGGAATGTGATCGAAAATATAAATTAGATCAACTCTCACAAGAAGAGTACTGGGAAGAAATGGTAAAAATATCTATGGAAGTGATGGCAAACCTCCGTAATGAAGTAAATACTGAGCTTGAAAAAGACAATGGAACGCCTTACCTTAATATGGCATATGAGGAGGTCTTATTTCCCATGGTATTTACAGGAAAGAAAAAATACTATGGTCTTGAGCATAAAAAGAAGCCAAATTTCAATCCGGGTAAGCTTTTCATTAAAGGGGTAGATATTGTGAAAAGAGGCCAATCTAAGCTCTTTCGTGATGTAGGTAAGGAAATTATGAATAGAACTTTGAAAGTCGGTAATGAGGAGACAATACACCAGATTGTTGAAAAAGTTCTTTGGGAAAATGTGGAAAAACTTTCCAAGTTAGATTATGATGAATTTATTCAGACATGTATATGGAGGCCTAAAAAGGAAGGTAAGCGGGGGAATATTTCTGTAGAATGGTTTGTTTCGCGAATGGGGGCTAAGTATTCTCGTGAAGTATTGGAAAATCAACAGCTTATAAAGAAGGGTTTACCCGCTAACGAATACCTATATAAAGTCCCCAAACCCGGTGAACGAATTAGTTACATTGTAGTAGTACCTGAGGAGATTTATGATAACTGCGGGAAAAAAATACCACAACAAAAAGGAGACTGTATGGAATACCCAGATGTGGTAAAAAAGTTCAACAAGAAAATAAATATTGATTATTATATCGAAAGTCTATTTGGTCTCTGTGCCCGTTTTATAAATTATGATGATAAATATCAACCATCACCTGAATCCCTCTCAAAAGTCTTGGATCGTAAAAAGAAATCAAAGGAGAAGAAATTGAAAAATGCTAAGGATTTATTGCAAAGCAGGCCCGAAGGGGCGACCCTAAACGGTCATGACTCTCCGAGTCTAGATGAAGATGAAATAGCAAAAATTAAAGATGGAGAGTCACAGAAGTCAGCTAAAAAATGGCTCAAAAATTATATCAAAGATTTACGTGATGCTCCGAAAAAAGATGAAACTATTATCTCCCATTTATGGAAAGATGCTATTATACATGCCGAAAAATTGTGCTATACTATGAATATTAGCAAAGCGGGCATAACTAGGCCTTCTACTTGGTATAATAATTATCTTAATGCGTTTGATAAAATTGCAGACTCCATTCGTTTGAAATTATCAGATATACTTTTAGAATTGTCTAAGCTAAATGTAGAATATAGAAATGGGTTATATAAATTAATTACACAGAAACAAAAATGCAAGACTGATATTACGATTTTGGAAGAGTATATACTTCAATATAATCTGGAATCAGAATGTGAAGCATTAATAGAATTCCGAAATACATGGTACAAAGCAATTGGTCTCGAGACTGCACGTCTTCAAGCATTATATATTATGCAAAGCGGTAAAAAAGACGACCCATCAGAAGCAGATATCGATGAGATCATTGATCTATATTGTTAAGTATTCTTGGTTAGAATTGCGACACCCTAATAAGATACTTATGCAATATTATATATATTTTTTCGTACATAAATAATATCCAAGTTTAAATAGATAATTCCTAATACCTAGCCCACATATCCCGCAACCGCTCATTTTTCCTATCAAACCCCCATGTACGTCTCACGAACCACATAACCGCAATAATTAATAGGACAAGGAATATATATGCTGATAGCGGAATCTGAGAATTCGATTCAATTAATGAGGACATATTATTTTCCCGTTGAGCAAGGTGCGGAGTCATATTTTCAGATATAATTGGGTGTATATCCGGGTTTATCGATGAAACTAGCATATTATCTTTGTTAATTTCGCTAATGCTAGTTTCAGATGCGCTAGCATTCTCACTTCATGAGTCACTTATCTTGGGGTTAATCTCTGTATCATTTTTTTCAGCTTGATTCATACTTTTTCCGCGTATAAAATACTTACTTAGATTTTTGCTAGGTTCAATAACTGCAGATATATCATCAAACTTGGTTATGGAACTTTGTTCCTCGCTCTGCGTATTTTTTATTGTGGGAACAATGAGGCTCTGCCCCTCGACATCTCCACCAATTATAGATTTTGATATAGTCTCCGATTTCAGACAGTTAAGTTCACTGACTTTTAAGGATAATTCATCTTTCATGCGCTCCAATTCAGTTATTTTGGACTTGAGAGAATCGATCCCGGAAGCTTTCAGAGATGAGTCCTTCTGAGCTGAAAATAATTTCTCTTCCAATGACTTTATTCTAGATTGGAAAGAATTCGCCTCTTCCATTTTTTTGTAATACTTGGTTTGATAGCCAGTAAGAGAAAGTTCTTTAAGAGCACCCTGGGATACAAGATTAGTATTTTCGCTCTGTAACTGTTTGATTTCTTCTTTGAGTTGTTTCATATTTGAGTCATTTCGTGTTTTGGCATCGGTGATTCGATTTAATTTTTTCCGGAGACGTAAAATTTTTTCATTTTTTGATTTCAACTCTTTTGCAAGTTCATCTGATCGTGTTTCTGCAAGCACTTTGGCATTTCTAAAATCAGAACATTTATTAGCAAAAAATTCGGTTTTAATGAGTAACTCATTACGTTCAGATTCAAGCTCACGTTCTCTAGTGCTATCTAATTTATATCCACGCCCTTGAAAATTTTCGGCAACAGTAGATCCACTAATTAAGGTATGTATTGGTGCCATATAATTAAAGAGAATATGTTTAACAAAAAATTGAATTAATTTTGATTTTTAACGTTATTTAACGATAGCAAATGGTAACCTTTGATTTTTAACGTTATTTAACGATAGCAAATGGTAACCTTTGATTTTTAACGTTATTTATCCATGTAAAATATTAAATTTCGATATTTATTATCTTTTATTAAGTAAAGTAATAATCTTCGACCCAATTCGAAAAAAAAACATCTTTGAACAATGTCCACTCCACATCTAAAAACTTATTATCGCCGAGGTGCTACTATTTTAACACCTGAGCAAATCGAAGAGATTAGGAAATCCAAAAATAAGGTTCCTAAATATGTGCTAGTAAGGAATTTCCATATTAATGAAAATCGTGTTGAGGATATATGGAAAAATAGCGAGCGTTCTCAACAGAATGGGGACCACAGCTTATCAAATACAGTAGATCGGTTTCCTGATTCATCTCATTTACTAAACATTGGCATGGATGAAAACGTTATGCAAGTAAACTCTATTGTTACCTCAGATAAGCAGACAAAAAAGACTAGCAGAAAAAAAAAGGACAATTCTATTTTAAATAATCAGTCTACTTCGTCAGTGCCAGAAAATGAAGTGCAAGCCAGAATGTCACATTTGCGAAAATATGCTAAAGAGCTTCAAGCTGAATCCTGAATTCGAATCAATTCCTTTTCAAGATATTCAGCATAATCTAAAACTTTAAGAAATTCATCTTTGAGATTTTGCCGTGTGTCCCAAACCTTAGAATGGAACTCTAATATTTTAGTATCTGAAATGAGATTAGGATTAATCACGTGTTTTTTTTAATGACGGATCATCAAAATCTAGGCTAAAACCTGCAGGAGCACACCACTTTTCAATTGGTATATTCTCATTCTCATTACTATCCGCCTCTTGAGAAATTTGATCGAGTACCAAAGGCTTATCATCTTGAGATGTAGTAACACAATTTACTTCGAGATTATTTTTTACCTTGTGCATAGTTACTGGAATAATGTGATCCTTCCCATTGAAAGGAATTTTCAATTCATCTTTCCCCCAATCTATAGCACATTCATATTTCTT